AAGAAAGAGGAGACGAAAGCAGACATTGCTAGAGAACAGGAAAGGTAACAATTTTAGAGAAGAAAATGTTTTGGTCGCTACATGGATTCGAACCTGGGACCTTTGAATGAGAGTCCAACACCTTAACCTCTAGGCCATGAGAGCCCCTCAAATATATGTTTGTGGTGCTATAGTAAGTCCTTTCACGATGAGAGCAAAAGTTGTGAGCTTGATACCGAGCCGGGGAATATATTTTATCAGGTGTCTTAAATTTTTGACCCGCAATCACTGTTTCACTCGCACCAAGTTTGTCCTGACTGGCAGAGTTGAGGCAGCTGGCCTCGTAAAATATTTTTATCGTGTCCATAGGTTTTTAAACCATTTCTATTTTTAGGACTGAGAAATTGGGGGGGGGGGAGTTGGCCTACTCAAAAATTTTTCATTTAAAAGGACCAGGCAACAAGCACTTGCTAAGTGACAATTATGAAGTACGAAAACAATGAATGCCAGTAGCTATTCAAGTACAAATATGAAAACCTGAGGGGAAAGTATTAGTGCAATGAAATACAATTTTGCAAGCTGTAGTATATACTTTATGCAAACGGAAGGACAGAGAGGGTAGTTTGTTGTTGTTTTTTTATGTATGCCTTTTTTTTATTTTTGAATGCACCAAATGTAATCTAATAGATTTTTAACTTTAGTTTGTTACCTGCCCCTTATCCTGTCTTCATGGGGAAAAAATGGAGGCACTAGGAAGGGATGATCTGAGTTTTCAGAATAGGCTATTGTTTTATCATACAGTTTCAGTTGTATTTTGTTGTCGAATGTCATTTCTTGTTTTCCGTTAAATATTTGTGGTGGAGATCGTTCCATTGAATAGTTGAAAAAATAGCGTTTGTTTTTAATTTTCAGCGGACAGGAATGGTAATGGTGAAAGTCCAAAGTCTGGGCAGGTAAGCTTTGAGTGTTCTGATTAATAAATTTGAAGCATCTCAGGATTTACTAAAAGTATATTTATTAGTTAGAGTTGAAAATTTATGAAGAAAAGGTGTGTTAACTCTTTGAAGGCCTTTCATTCTACAACATTTGAAAACTCTGTTTGTGCTATTCAGTACGTTTTTCAGTTCTGTTTTCTATGTCTGAAAAGCAAGCAATAACATGAACTCTATGAAATGTGAGACGTACTGATAAAATGAGTTACTTCTCGCAATCCAAATATAGAGATATCGACTGAAAACTGAAAATAGACACTGGGGTCAGATTTATAGATTTTCAATTGATGCCATTTTCGTCAAGTCTCCCATGTCTTTTATTGTTCCATACTTGTTAATTGTACAAACTCCTTCTATAAAATTGATGTATCAATTTCTATAAGGCTAAATTTGGAGAAGTAACTCATTTTGTCAGCACACCTCACAAATGTGCAAATTCGTGTTTCTGGTTTGTGCATGATGGTTTGAAATGTGCCTCAACACTGCCTTTGGTCTGCTGCTGATGGGACAAATGTGACAATTACATCCTTGTTAAAGAGTTAATTAATCTAGGATGCAGCATTATATTTTAAGGAGGCAGGAGGACTGGAGGAGACACATGTAAATTATCTGTATAAATATAAAAGGAAAAAGAGTCCTTGTGGTAGTGACTGTTGCATATAAAATGTTTTTAGTTTATTGATAGGCACTGGGCAACTACACTTCTGTTTTTTCGCTGAAAATCAGAATGCAATTCATTGAAAAGCACCCATGCCTAAGTCCATATAGACTGCTTAGTGTAAGATTCTGCCATTCACCATTTTGAAAAGTGAAGTGTGACAGTCTTATACTGATCAGTCGATATGTGTCATGGCAAGGTGGAATCAGGCACTCGTCAGTTTTTGGCCATGTGGATTCATTGGTATCATCTTAAAGATTGTTCATTTGTCTATCAATATGTGAAAATAATGACCCGTTTATCTTGAATAGAAGTCAATATATTTGCGATTGAAGGAGGTGGGGTCACCTGGTTTCAGAAGTAAAATTAGTAAGAAAATTCAGTGATTTCTATAACTTGAAAGTCCTTGAAAACTAGAAATTTGCA